AGGTACCAGGGCCTAAATTTGAATTGCTTTTTATTTTGCTGTTCTTCTGCTTGACTGCCCAGTTATGTCTGCTTTCCATGCAATGTACAAAAGCCTCCTATAAATATATGCAGGGTAAAAAAACTGAATTACAAATTATTATTACACAGGATTTATATCGCGCCAACAGTTTGCACAGCGCTTTGCAAAACTGAGGGAGACAATACAATTTCAGTGTAGGAGGGACCTGCTCTTGAGCGCTTACAATCTAGTGGGAGGAGCAAGGGATACAAAAGGTAATAACTGTGTAGGATGATTTCATGGAAGAAGTAAGAGGGCAGTTATAATGTTGAGATGAGATCGGCTTCCCTGAAGAGATGAGTTTTCAAGGATCGCCTTAGGCCCCGTTCATTGAGCGATTTATCGCGCGGTAAATCCCGCGATATCGCGGCAAATTACCGCGCGATATCGCGCTCCAATGCGCTCCAATGGGGCAAAGGGTCCTGCTGTCGTGTGTCGCTACAGCAGGACCCTTTTTTGAGCGGATTTAGCCGAGTTGAAGCTCAATGCAAGCTTGAACGCGGCATCGCGCGGCAAATCTCGCGATGGCGCGCAATATGCAAATCGTGCGACAAACGCGCGATTTGCATATCGCGCAGTGGGAACGGGGCCTAAAGGTGGACAGAGTAGGAGATAGGCAGACAGATTGGGGTAGGGAGTTCCAGAGGATGGGAGATATCCTGGAGGTGAGCATGCAAGGTGGTCATGAGAGCAGGAGGTCTTGAGAGGAGCGGAGAGGCCGGTTTGGGTGATATTTTGAGATGAGGTCTGTGATGTAGGTTGGGGCGGAGTTGTAGATAGCTTTGTAGGTTGTAGCATTTTTTTTGTTTTGGGGAATGGGGAGCCAGTGGAGGGATTGGCAGAGGGGGGTGGCGGACCCCTATCGGTTGGTAAAGTGGATGAGTCTGGCAGCAGAGTTCATGATAGACTGATGGGGGGTGGGGGGGGGGATAGCCTGCTTAGTGGTAGGCCAGCAAGGAGGGAGTTACGGTAGTCGAGATTGATACAATAGATTGAAAGCCCTCTCTCTATATGATGGAAAATATGAGCAAGGTTTGCGTTGGGTACGGGCTTAGCCACAACGGTGATTTTGCTCTATCAATACAAAGTATATGTGCTGCCGAAAGTCAGACAAATGTGTCTTGCAGTGGAATTGTGGCCTCTCGTGTACTGCAGCACTTCATTATAAGTTCATTTGCACTTGCAGTTCTCTTAGTCCCCCTGCAAAAGTCCCACAATGACTGTTGATCCTGCCAGTGAAGTTCACCTAATGCAGCCTGTCTGTGATGGGGTGGCAACAATGCTGCACTGCTCCTGAATTCAGAGCGGAGTTGTCACCCTCGTGTAGGCTGTGCCTGCTCTCACTACAGTGGGATCAGGCACTGATGCCGGGGCCGTGGCTTTCCGCATTGGATGTGGTGCGTTCTTGTTGGATGGAAAAGACCAACAATATCTTAGTGTCAGAATTGATATTTTCTGGGGAAAGTAGACGCCGTGTGGCACTGACCTGATTTTTAAAAAATCTGTTTTGGTGTTTAGGTTTATGATAGTGATAAATCTCTTTCTTACAGGCCACTAAAAATCCCTTCTACCTTCATGTGGGGATGGACATTCTCCTTAGTCTGGAGAAACACGCCAAAGCCAAGTAAGTGTGCCCCATCTGTGTGTGGTCTCGGGTGACGGTGCCCCATCTGGGTGTGGTCTCGGGTGACGGTGCCCCATCTGGGTGTGGTCTCGGGTGACGGTGCCCCATCTGGGTGTGGTCTCGGGTGACGGTGCCCCATCTGGGTGTGGTCTCGGGTGACGGTGCCCCATCTGGGTGTGGTCTCGGGTGACGGTGCCCCATCTGGGTGTGGTCTCGGGTGACGGTGCCCCATCTGGGTGTGGTCTCGGGTGACGGTGCCCCATCTGGGTGTGGTCTCGGGTGACGGTGCCCCATCTGGGTGTGGTCTCGGGTGACGGTGCCCCATCTGGGTGTGGTCTCGGGTGACGGTGCCCCATCTGGGTGTGGTCTCGGGTGACGGTGCCCCATCTGGGTGTGGTCTCGGGTGACGGTGCCCCATCTGGGTGTGGTCTCGGGTGACGGTGCCCCATCTGGGTGTGGTCTCGGGTGACGGTGCCCCATCTGGGTGTGGTCTCGGGTGACGGTGCCCCATCTGGGTGTGGTCTCGGGTGACGGTGCCCCATCTGGGTGTGGTCTCGGGTGACGGTGCCCCATCTGGGTGTGGTCTCGGGTGACGGTGCCCCATCTGGGTGTGGTCTCGGGTGACGGTGCCCCATCTGGGTGTGGTCTCGGGTGACGGTGCCCCATCTGGGTGTGGTCTCGGGTGACGGTGCCCCATCTGGGTGTGGTCTCGGGTGACGGTGCCCCATCTGGGTGTGGTCTCGGGTGACGGTGCCCCATCTGGGTGTGGTCTCGGGTGACGGTGCCCCATCTGGGTGTGGTCTCGGGTGACGGTGCCCCATCTGGGTGTGGTCTCGGGTGACGGTGCCCCATCTGGGTGTGGTCTCGGGTGACGGTGCCCCATCTGGGTGTGGTCTCGGGTGACGGTGCCCCATCTGGGTGTGGTCTCGGGTGACGGTGCCCCATCTGGGTGTGGTCTCGGGTGACGGTGCCCCATCTGGGTGTGGTCTCGGGTGACGGTGCCCCATCTGGGTGTGGTCTCGGGTGACGGTGCCCCATCTGGGTGTGGTCTCGGGTGACGGTGCCCCATCTGGGTGTGGTCTCGGGTGACGGTGCCCCATCTGGGTGTGGTCTCGGGTGACGGTGCCCCATCTGGGTGTGGTCTCGGGTGACGGTGCCCCATCTGGGTGTGGTCTCGGGTGACGGTGCCCCATCTGCGTGTGCTCTCGGGTGACGGTGACCCATCTGTGTGTGGTCTCGGGTGACGGTGACCGGTGTGTGGTGTTTGCCATGTGCAGTATAGGGTCTGACCGTGTTTGTGTTGTAGATGTGGTTATGCAACCCTGCACCACGTGGTGGACAAGTCCCAGGAGGATCGCATGGAAAGCTTCTTCCTGAGCGAGACCTGCAAGTATCTCTTCTTGGTAAGTAAATCATTCGTTCTTGTGCGGTTAGGAAAGTCAATCTTGTTCGAGAACTAGTTCCTCCTCCTCCTCCTCCTCCTCCATAATTACACTCGTATGTAAATCCAATCACTTAACGGGTAATTCACAAAGCTGCTGAAGGATCCAGCCGTAGCTTCAGCTGATCTTTCGGCTCGCTTCGGGTACGGGAGCCGAAGGGCTGCTGTACGGGCTTATTCACTATAGCCCGTACAGCTGCTGAGGGTCTCAACTGAGCCAAAGTGACAACCGAAGCAGGGGCGAATGGCCTGTCGGAGGCCGGACATTCGCCCTGCAAATGACAGCTGGGCGGAGCCAGCCGTGATCTCATGGCGGGCTCCACCCAGTTGTAATGACAGATCAGCGTCCCCAAATGAGCTGGGGAGGCTGAACTTTCATTAAACCATAACTGGGCGGAGCCGACCTTGATGTCACAGCCGGCTCTGCCCAGTTCAGTGGTCGGGACCTGCTAGACTATAGCAGTTGCCGGCTAATGGGAAACAGTTGGGAGGAGCTAGCTGTTACCGCTAGCTCCGCCCAATTTTTTTTATTTAAAAAAAAAACAAAACTTCTTTAACTTTTTTTATTTACATTTTTTACATTTTTTCAGCTTCTTTTTTTTGTGTGACTATTTTCATTGATTGTCTATTATGCTCGGTACCATGGAGGTACTGAGCAGAATGGCCGAGCCGAATGCCGCTCAGCAAGTGAGCTGCCGGAGTCCCGGCTCAGCCGATCCAGATGTCGAAAATCGAAGTTAGGCCTTACTTTTTCTCTGCTGACGCGTGTCATATGATTAAACCGTGGCTGGGGTCACCGGCGTCAGAGAAGGAGTTGGGTTCTGCAGAGGGCAATGTACTTCAATTTGATATTGTGAACTTTATCCGTGTTATAATTAAGAAGAAAAAAAAAAGTCTTGGCATATGTTCCATGTTCTCTATTTTAATTTGGCACCTCGAGGAAGGACAGATCTAGTGGTGTCTGCACGCATGGTCAGGGAAGGTGTAGCAGGAAGGCAGCTTGGATTGGTAGCCTGTGTTTTTCTGTATTTACATCTAATATAACCCACCAGACCAATGTAATATCTTTTATTTGGGATGGACTGACCCTTTTATTTCCCTCTGACAGCTCTTCGATGATGAAAATCCAGTGCACACAATGGGCAATAAGTATCTGTTTACCACCGAGGGGCACCTGCTCCCGCTGGACCCTCGTTTCAGGAACAAAGCCTGGAAGGACATCTTCACCCCCGAGAAAAAAGTGAACAAAGCACCGAGCAGTTCCCAGAAACTGTCCCAGACCAAAGTACGAGCCGCGAACTCCAGCACCAATGTAAGTAATGGGCATGGCGGGAGATGGCAGTGACCCAAACACTGTATGTAATGGGGATATTCACCGCGATGGCCAAACGGGATGCTTATGGGCATGTATAGTGTGTGTTGATGGAAATGGTATACACTCGTCTGGAGTCCAGTAACAAACTCCAGCAGCGGCGAAACTACCAACCCCTTCATGCATTTGTCCCTGCGAGTTAAAGGAGAACTATGGGGTTAAGTATTTTCCCCATAGTTCTCCTTAGGGTAACGGGAGGACACAAACTAGCGTCCTCCCGTCACCCTAAGCTCAGTATATAGGGAGCTGCAGCTCCCTATATACTGAGACGCTGCAGCTGAAGCGGATCCCGACAATTGTGCCGGGATCCGCCCAGCTGCGTGACTGACAACTGGCTCTGCCTATCTAGAGTCAGAGCCAGCTGTACCCGCCCCCTCCCGTTCCGCCAGTCAGCGCTGGAGGATTGGAGCGGGGGAAATCCAGCTCCTCCCCTGTCACGGCAGAGAGCCGTGACAGGATCGAGAAGTGAGTGAACGCCGGTATATGTTCACTCACCTCCCGATCTACTGAGCCGACCTGTGACAGTCTCATTGTCGCAGGTCGGCTAGAACTATGAGGTGAGTGAAAAGCACCCCCCTCCCCTCCCCCCCCCTCATAGTTCTCCTTTAATGCTTGTGGCTGCCAGAGTCTTGCAATGCCTAATGTCATTTGTAGCTGCACAACAGCAAGAGGGCCAAAGTTTGCCCACCCCTGGTATAGGGGCTTTATTTTATATACAGCCTTCTAGGGATGTACCGATACTGGTTTTTCGGTATTGAGTACGAGTACCAGTTTAGTTTTATTTTTTGGGTACTCGCCAATACCGATACCGAAGTCCCATTTAAGGAAGCTGGGTGACGTGTAATGACTCAGCGCCCGGCTTCCCGATTAGCTGGGAAGCCGTCTTCATGCTCCCTTGTCACCAGATGACGAAGCATGGAGCCGGTTTCTGGCCAATCAGGAAGCTGGGGGACGGCTAATGACTCGCCCCCCGGCTTCCTAATTGGCCAGATTCCCGGCCAATCAGGAAGCTGGGCGGCAGCGAGTCATTAACCGCCACCTGGCATCCTGATTGGCCAGGAAGCTGGCTCCCTGGTGACGAGAGCATGGAGCCAATCAGGAATGCAGGAAACGTTAACGACTCGCCGCCCAGCCTCCTGATACCGGAAGGTCCAGTATCGGGATAGGCATCGGGAGCGTTTGGGTGAATAAGAGTGCTCACCCAAATACTCGGCATTGGCACCGATGCATCCCTACAGCCGTGTCTTCTTCTGCTCGCTCAGCCTGCAGTGCAGACTGTTAAGCTGGCCATAATATTTTCTTTGTTCAACCCACGGGCTGAACAAAGAAAGAACAGATTCCTCCATCAACCCTTTGGAATCTCTCAACCAATCTCCCGCTGTTTATTTTGTGTTCTGATAGAGGCCGGTGGCTGCTGTCGGAATACCTGAACAGAGCCGGCAGCTCATTGGCTGCTGGCTCTGCTTGTTCGAAGATTTTCCTCCCCCCCAGATATGTCCCTTTCGCCTCCTGTTGTGTGACCGGGTGCTCCTAGTTCTTCCTAATGAAAACTGTTACCGGTCACGTTTCCTCCTATGTGTGGCTTACAGGCGGAGAGCAGTGACATGCTTACTGCACATCACCCAGTCCTGACCCACCCACATCACTTGATTGGCAGCTGTGCAGATAACTCCGCCTGCATGCACGCCCACCAATTCAGAGCTTTCCCACTGAATCATGGGAGATGTAGTACTTGTATCCCCATGGAAGACATGATATGCGGTGCCTGCTCAGATCATTACCCTAGGTTTACTACCTGTCCCGGATTTACCTGGACAGTGCGGGTTTTGAGTCCTGTATGTGCTGTGTCTGGGTCTCAGCTGGCCTGGAAACGGCACATAGAGGACTCAAAACCCGGACTGTCCAGGTGAATCTGGGTCAGGTGACAACCCTACATTACCTGCTGTCAGAAGAGAGAAAGTTACAAATTCATTCAAAAGAAGGTCAATGATTGTAAACATTTCACAGCATCTTTCATGTGCATGGGAGAACCCTTTTGATATAGATAATGGGTTGCCACATTTCGCCCCTCAGCTGTTGTGGAACTACAAGTCCCATAAGGCAGGGGTCAAAATTTAAAGTCCTGAGCTACTAGCCAGTCCTTAGGAGTTACTCGCCACCAGTTGCCCAGCTAACCCTTACCCTGCCCTGGCATATAATGAAGCCCCCTCACCTGCTTGTCTTTCTGCAGGGAGGAGGCGAGCAGGCAGATCCCTGGTGATCTAGTGTGATTAGTGAGGTCTGCTGCAGACCTTACTAATCACTTTGTTTTCGACTCGGAGCTCAGTGAAGGGCTGGGGCTGAAAGAACGGAGAGCCCAGCAGCTGCTCCCACGAGTCAGGTACGCGGTCTGTGACCGCAAGCCTGACTGCATTTCCATTCGCCTGCACTGCATTTTCACTCGCCAAATGCGAGCAGGCGAGTGGAAATTTTGAGCTCTGCCATAAGGCATTGCGGGACTGACAGGCACAGGCATGACTCCCAGAGGCAGATGCATGATATGATTTGTAGTTTGGCCACAGCTGGAGTGGTGAAGTTTAGCTACCCCGATATAGAGTATCAGTCAGTAGATTTTGCATTGCATTGTGGGTAATGGATTGTATTGTGTTTTTTTTAGTGTTACAGAGTCCCCGAAGAACGGCGGTACTCCCTCCCACTGAAGAGCGTCTACATGCGACAGATCGATCAGATGGTCGGGCTCCTATAGCGCCAGCGACTTGTACAACAAACTAGCCGAGCTCCCAGGGCTCCCGGGGGCCATTCAGATGGGGAAAACCGCCATTTAGCGACGCGGAATAACTTACTCATCCGGCGTCGACTGAGAAACCACCCCGCCTCCGGGATTCGCTATTGGACGATCAATCTCAGGGACTGCGCAACAACTTGCACACCAGTTTTTGTCTTCTTAAAATGCTGCATTTTTTTTATTTGTACGTTCCCTGATATCAGACTCTACTGCCACGTAGGTAGTAACGGCACAAGATCACCAATCACTAGCCTTGCTCTCTCTGGGTGCCGCCATTTTTTTTTTTTTGTAGCTGTTCATGTGAGTTTTTTTTAAATCGTCTGGAGTCCAGTTACAAAGTTGCCAAAATGACTCGAGCCAATCTCGTTCAGGTTTTATATTGCATACAGACTACGATCATGTGACGCGATCATGTGACGCCCTGCCTCTCAGCCTCGCCTGTGCCTTAGGAGAACATCTCCGCCATATTTTTTTTCCCCCTCCTGGCCGCCCGTGCCTGCAACTCTCACTCTGTTTATCTTCCTTTTTAGGATCGCTCATCAGGGCTGCCTACTTTTCTGACTTTTAAGCTTTTTTATTTTATAGAAAAAAAAAGCAGGAAATACATTTTATTTTTTATTTAAAGATACGAATATTAAACTGAGTGCTTTACTTTTCCTGCCACCCTGGCTTTTCTATATATATTACACGGCGAGAGCTGCACCGCTGCGTGTGCAAGCCAAAGTGCGAAACGCACAACCTGAGCAACAGATTAAAGTAACCCCCCCCACACCCCCTCCATGCTGCTCTAAGGACTTGCCTTAAAGGAGAATTATGAGGTGGGTGATTTTCACTCAGCCTCATAATCTGAGCCGACCTGTGACAATGAGACTGTCACAGGTCGGCTCAGTAGATCGGGAGGTGAGCGAACACATACCGGCGCTCGCTCACTTCTCGGTCTATCCCCGCAGAGAGCTGTGACTGTCACTCACGGCTCCCTGCAGGGTTTCCCTGTCCGATCCGCCAGCGCTGACTGGTGGAACGGACGGGGGAGGGGGCGGGTACAGCTGGCTCTGCCTCTAGATAGGCAGAGCCAGCTGTCACTAAGGCAGCTGGGTGGATCCAGACAGAATTGTTGGGATCCGTTCCGGCTGCGGAATGGGGAAAAGCCCTAACGCCATAGTTCTCCTTTTTCAATGATGCCTCTTGATCCGATCTTCTCTCCAGTGGTTTTCAGGAGTCCCTCCAGCGCTGGTGACTGTCAATTATACATATAAGAGAAAAACAATAAAAATCGGAATCCATGCCTGACCGCCCACCGGCACAGGAAAGCTTAATAGTCCAGCAGCTCAGACTCTGTATGGAGCCTATTGCTGGTGTGATCCGGGTCAATACATCTAAAGATAATGATCAGCGGATGAGTAATAGATGAAGCAAAGGGGAGAGCAGTAATGGACTACAAATACAACTGTCTATGAATTCCCTGGTATAGTTACAATGCCTGGAAGTACCTTGTGCTCTTCATATGGGGTATTGTAGATATACAAGGGAATTGGTATACATGGAATCCGTATACAATTGTATTTTATTAGATGAAGCAAAGGAAGAGCATTAATGGAGTACAAATACAACTGTATCTGAATTCCAGGGTATAGCTATTGTAGATATGTTAGGGAATCGAGATAACATTGTATTTGTACTCTATTACTGCACTTCCCTTGCCTCATCTATTAAAGGAGAACTATGGGGTTAAGTCTTTTCCCCATAGTTCTCCTTATGGTAACAAGAGGACACAAACTAGCATCCTCCCGTCACCCAAAGCTCAGGATACCGCGAGCTGTAGCTCCCTATATACTGAGACGCTGAAGCGGATCCCCGACAATTATGTCTGGATCTGCCCAGCTGCGTGACTGACAGCTGACTCTGCCTATCTAGAGGCAGAGCCAGCTGTACCCGCCCTCTCCCACGATCCACCAGTCAGCGCTGGAGGATCGGAGCGGGGAATCCAGCCCCTCCCCCTGTCACGGCAGAGAGCCGTGACAGGATGGAGAGGTGACCGAACGCCGGTATCTGTTCGCTCACCTCCCGATCTACTGAGCCGACCTGTGACAGTCTCATTGTCACAGGTCGGCTAGAACTATGAGGTGAGTGAGAAGCCCCCCCCCTCCTCCAGCTCATAGTTCTCCTTTTTTAAAGGACAATTTTATATATCAATTCCCTATTATTTCTACAATACCCCGTCCAAAGAGCACATGGTGCCTCCGGGTATTTTATGTGCGGTGTTGTAGCTACACCAGAGAATTGATCTACAATTGTATCTCTGTACTCTATTACCGCACTTCCGTCGCCTCATCTCATAAAGTACAAATACAATTGTATATGAATCCCATGTATACCAATTCCCTATTATATCTCCAATATGCCACAGAGAGAGCACATGGTACCTCCAGGTATTTAGGTGAGGTAATATAGGGAATTCATATACAGTTGGATTGCTGCTCTTCCCTTGATTCATCTATTAAAGTACAAATACAATTCCATATCAAAAACATGTCTACAATGCTCCTGAATATCTAAGTGTACCGTCTGCTCTTCAGATGGGGAATTGTCACTATATCGGGGAACTGATTTACAATTGTATTTGCACTTTATTAGCTCCGGCAAGGTAAGAGAGTACAAATACAATTGTATATCGGCTCCCTATGATGTCTACCATACCCCGTCCAAAGAGCGCATGGTGCCTCCGGGTATTTAGGCGAGGTTACCTCAGGGGCGTCCCCGAGGCTGGGTGACACCCGGAGCGGTAACCGAGTGTCACCCCCGCCGAGACGTCACCGTGCGCGATGACGTCATCGCGCACGCGCGGCAGTATTCTGATACCTGCTGGCGGCCATCTTGGTGATGGACGCCGGCAGAGAGAGGAGGGGACAGTCACCCGGCGGGATAAGGTATGCCGCCGGGTCCCCTCCTGATACTGTCGGGTGTTCGGTCCATGACCAGCGCCCGACTTTTCAGAGGGGAGGTGACACCAAAATGTCATTTTGGTGTCACCCCCTCCAATGGTGTCACCTGGGTGCGGGCCGCACCTCCCTTGTGACACCACTGGGTTATCTATACAATATTGTTCAATACATTTTATATTTATACTGCTCTTCCCTTGCTTCAGCTATTAAAGTGCAAATAAAATGATATACTAATTCTCTGGTATGGTGACAATACTTCTATTTTCGATCGCTCGATATCACCGCTCCTTATTCACAGCAGCCTTAGGGTGCCCACACACCTTACGATAATGGCGGGAAATCCCGCGATCTTACGATGATCGTAAGGTGTGTGGAAGCCGCGCGACCTCTACTACTGTAAGGTCGCACGACTTTAAACTTACGGACCTGTTCGAAGCATCGTACGACGTTCGGCGGGTGTGTGGCATGTCCGTACGATAAAAGCCGTACGGGCCGGTGTGCGCAAGTGCACACTGCCTGTTCAGCAGTGCGGTCATCGGAAGCCCGCCCCTCAGGGGGGCGTGGCTTGCGATCATCGCAAGTACGATCTGCCTATGCAACATAGGCAGATCGTACGTTTTTTTTAAGTACCTCCCAACCATCGCAAGACAAAAGTCTTGCGATGGTTGTAAGGTGTGTGCCCAGCCTTAGGGAGAAGGCCGGCCGAGCTCGCCTTGCTCCCGCCTCTGCAGATACTCACAGAAAGAAGTCGGGTCGCACTCCACATGTCCCGCTGCGGATCCTCCTCACTCGGACTTGGACTAAACCCAATAAAGAGTAGATGGCGCTCCCAGATATTCGGAAGGAGTATTGTGTCTGTGATGGGGAATTCATATACAATCGCATTTGTACTTTATCGGTGACGCGAGGAAAGGGCAGCAGTGGAGTACAAATACAATTGTATCGATTCCCTAGTATATCTACTCCTGTTTAAAGAGCAGGTGATATAATACCCCATCTAACTACCTGGGGGGGGTAACTATATCAGAATTGATATACAATTGTATTTGTAGTCCATTACTGCTCTCCCCTTTGCTTCGTTTATTACTCATCCGCTGATCATTATCTTTAGATGTATTGACCCGGATCACACCAGCAATAGGCTCCTTACAGACTGCTGGACTATTAGGCCCGGTTCACACACAACGCAAGCAAAATTGTATATACGAGTCTGTGCGTGTATATATGCGCGTATACATGAGCGTACACGTGCGTATATATGACCGTGCATGCGTGCACTATATGCAATCCCAGGATGCATCACTCGTAATGGAATTTTTACTGTACGCGCGTATACACGCTGCCCGGACGCATCTCTGTTCCATTCTGTTTTTGCGCATATATACGCTGCGCATATATACGGCTCTATATGCGGCTGTGTGCATGGAGCCATTTATTTGCACAGGTTGCATATGGTACAATACACACGTGTGTGCGCGCATACGTGCGGCAGTGTGAATGAGGCCTCAGGCCCGGTTCACGCCTGGGCGTTTCGTAGCGCGTTCCTACGCTCTGCAAAACGCTCAAGCACCATTGTTTCCTATGGGCATGGTTCACACCTGGGCGTATTACAGGCCGTATGAACGCGCTACAAAACGCCCTACGCCCAAAGAAGTACAGGAGCTTCTTTGGGGCGCTTTCATTGGGAAACGTGCGGTTTTTTTACCGTGAAATGTGTGACAAATGCACATATTTGATACGCCTAGGTGTGAACCCCGCCTTAGGCTTTCCTGTGCTGGTGGACGGATTTTAGATTTTGATATTGGTTTCCTCTCTCGTATGTGTGCGCGCCTCCTTAGGTGTGTACTCGCCGTGCTTCTTTATCCTATTTATTTGCTGTAATGACATTTTGCATCTTCCATGGCCGTGCATTGTGCCTGAGCAGTGCATCTGCTTTTCATTCAGAAAAGTATTCAGGGATTCTGTGTTCTAATTTTTTTAATATATTTTTGTTTTTATTGTTAAGAGTATTCTATTAAAAATGTTCCCGTGCGACGATGGTGATGCGTCCTTAAAGCAGAATATTTATTGTAAGCATTTTA